AGAACTGTGTTGTAGACTGATAATGTATCATCCCCCTCTGTTGAGAGAGGGCTGTTCAGTTTTGATATGGATGGCCTCTTTGACTCCTCTTTAAGAGCCCTCTCTCAACAGAGGGGAATGATACATTATCAGTCTACAACACAGTTCTTTCAGCAGTTTCAAGAAGATTCCACACCACAGGTGTCAAACTCACAATGTCACGTTGCCGTTGTGTGACTTTTGTGACATTTTCCCCATTCGCACAGCTGGGGTGGGTGTGGCCTGTGCATGACGCCCCGGCCCATGGGCCACCAATTGCTCCACACCCGTTTGCCCTACTCAAGTGACCCTGAGACAGATAAAGCTCCAAGTGGTCTCTACTACTATCTAAAAGAATGCAAATGACCAGCTGTCTGCAAGGAATATAAATCCTTCCATTTCCCACCATCCAGTCAGAGCTGAAGAAGCTTCTTGGATGAGAAGTGAAACGTCTTCAAAGAAAAACAAGAAAGTCCAGTTGCCTCTTGAAAAAGCACCTTTGGGATTTTAGTCTGAAAGCAGAAAGATGCTTTAGAGCAGACGGGAACACAAGCCAGAGCACATGCCAGCAACTCCCTCAACCACAATTATTCTCTCCTAGGATCATGCACCAAGATAGGACAGCTGTGTGCCATTCCAGTAAAAGGCATCATTGCTTGAAGCATTTGCAGGCAGAGCTACTTGCAGCTGTACAGTCTGAAGCACCGTTTTGCCTTCTAATTGAAACTGCTACACAACACTTTGTTGTGGCAGTGAGGTGTTGATACAATTACTGTGTGTGACACATTTCTATTTATCCATTTGTATAACATATGTTACTTGGATCTTAATATGTACCACATGTCACTTTAGAAAAATGTTTGTTTTTTCTGTTCTGAAAATAATGGATTTTTAATGAATTAAAAATAAAGGGGTAAATAGAACCGTGAGGAGAAAAATGGATTGATTAGAATATTTCCTTTCCTAACTTTCTACCAAATTTCTCTCCACTTTGTCTTACGTGTTGGCTTTAAAATTCACACTGGCTTTAAGTAAAACAAGTGATAATCTTCACAAATATGATGCAAATCTGTATCTTCTACTACTTCTGTTTCTCAGCTGCCTTATGAATGTTTCTTCTATACTGTACTGGACCCTGAGAATCCTGGCTCAGTTTGATATAGCAGTACCACACTACTTTCTCCCGCTCTCAGGGCCAGGGTCGATTTCAGTTTTTTCTCTCAAATAGCTTTCCTAACATGCTATATTTGTTTAGCTGAATGTACCACTCTAAAAAGAGAGTAAAGAAAATATTTTCTGATTTATAATAAGTAAATAAATGTTAATCTGAACTAAAACTTCTACATTTATATAGAGGCATTAATGTTATATCCCTCAATTTAGAAATAGCAGTTTTTGTTGCTCATCTGAACATGACAAAAATCACGTATCAGGTTTTCGGTTCTGGTGAACTATGAAAGAGCCGAAAAGCTGTGGCAGAACCTTCAGGACGCGTATTGTTTTCAGAATTTAAAACAAAGNAGTCTTTCAGTTGGTAACTTTGCTGCCAGACTCTTAGTAAGGCTTTTTCCAGAGCTTTTTACTTCAGATAACCTCAGACTGCAATACAACCATTCAGGGGCTTGTAACAAGAAGCAGCTTGATCCTATCAGACTGAGACTCATCCGCCATTATGTTGAAGCTGTTTATCCTGTTGAAAAGATGGATGAAGTTTGGCATTATGAATGTATACCAAGCATTGATGAAAGATGCAGACGTCCAAATAGAAAAAAATGTGACATATTGAAAAAAGCCAAGAAAGCAAAAAAGTGATATTTTAAGTTTCCAAAGATGGTGACTTCAATTATTTTGAAGTAGCTTGAGAGGTCAATGGTTTAGCACTAGGACAACTGATCAATTTTTTTTTCTTTTATATGTGTTTACACATGCAGGAATGGGTAAGAAGTTGGAAGTTATAATCCAGTGAGAATCTCTCTTAAAAGCCCTTCTGAAACAAATACATATGGTGGAAAAATATATTTTATAGCTCCGTTTTAGTATGCCTTTATGTAGCTTAGATTGCTTGCTGTTTTTTCAGTTACCATCTACCTAAACTGGATCACAAGGAACCACAAATTATTAGAGTTGATCTAATAATATATCGTATAAATATAATATTCATCAATGGAAATAGATTAGATTTTTAATTTTTAAATAGTAATTAACTTCTTTAAGACAGTTCTCAATAGGGACCTTTATCATTTGGAAATTAATAATTTTTTAAATATTTCAAATCTCCAATTTTAAAATGTTATACCTCTTTAAAAAGAATGGAAAATCACAGTAGTTTCTATGCTTGTGGATACTTCTTATATCAAGTTTGAATATTAGGAAAGGAAAAATTACAAAATCAAGTTATTACATTTTAAAAATAATTTTTCATTTTGTAGTTGGAGTAAAAATTAAAATCATGGGTTATTTAACGAGTGTTTATGTTAAGATTGTAGTATTGATTTCATTTTTTATTCATATAAATTATTTTATTGTTTTCTGTATAATCTTGATAAAAGAACTACTGGTATGTGTGGAGATTGTGAAATATAGAATCCTACTCTGTACCGGTAAAAGTGGTGCTATTACCTGTTATACTCACTACTTCAAAAAAATACTTGAATTGAGGAATGTGCAAAACACTTAAGTCCATATTATTTTTATCAGTTAAATTACTGCAGTTTTAAACTGTTGAAAATATTAAATATACTATCTATATTTTTATTTGAATTATATACTAAGCTCTATTGTATGTTGATTAGTACCTTCAAATACAGTGACACCCAAATAATTTCATTATCGCAGAGATTATAAGTTT